TATGAGCAATCAGGTCTTTACCCAGAGGCTCTTAACACTTATCAAACCATTATAGCAAATAAAGTGTCTCCTCATGCAGGTACTAAGTATTGGTCGTTCTTCACTATTAAAGAACTTTTTAAAAATTTTGTTATATAATGTTGGCTCATTTAGTAAGCGTCATTAACTTTCTTAGCTAAGCCATTAGTAAAATATTATTATTATTTCAAATGGCTGGCTTTATGATATCTTCATTAGTTCCTTAGTTGATTTCGGCTTTCACAAGGGGGAGGACATATATAGCAGTAAATTGATAGCAGTTCATTGGTTGTCTTCTGGCTCCCCAGTATCTATGGGTTTCCGTCGTTGTCTTTAGGACTGGACATCGAATCAGGTGGGTCTTCTCCATTTACTCCTGTAGGTCATATAGGGGGCATGTTGGTTGAGTGTATACTCCCAATCTGTGAAGATGTTTTGCCAAGCAATCGTGTCTGGTACGTGGTCTAAACTCATCAACGGCTTCGATTCTTGGCCAGTCGGCTATGTCGGAGAGTGCCACTGTCCACTGTTTCTCCTTTGTTCGAGCTTTAACTTCGTTGCACGTTTGGTCTTGAATTCTCTCCTGATTAAGGTCTTCATTGTGTGAAAAGACATCAGCCGGTCCACGCCTTCCAAAATTGTTGTCCTCTTCTTAGCAAATGCGTCAACACTCTCATTGCCTTTAATGCTACAATGTTTTGGAATCCATTGTAGGACCACTGTTTTGTTTTTTCCCCTCAGCAGCTGATAGAGTTTTTTACAGCTGCGAATATATCCAGTCAATTCAGTTAAATTTTAACGGTATTGAAGATCAATCAACTTGATACTTCGTTTGTTTCGTGCGTTTTGATAATTTCAAATATGCAACGGATTCTAATCTAGCTAATTTTGTTGTGTGCTGAAGTTGATGTTGACATGTAATCTTGGCTTCTGAGTGGCTCAAGCTTTTTCCGCTTTCCTTCTTTTGAGAGTTGATGGCTTCCATTCATGGATATATTCGGATTTTATAATGCATAAGTAGTACTAGAGTCACCGAACCAATTAGCGCGATTTTGCTCTTCATCACTTGCCTTCGAGTTTAGATAAGTGGGACCCTTGTGCACAATTTGAAAAGCGTTTAATAAAGACATTGTTTACTGGGCCTTAAATCTCTTAGGTCTCTATTGCTTTCCATGTAAAAAGTATAGTTCTTTAGCCCCAGATTGTGAAATAATTTCATCTCATCAATATATTTTCATCTAGAAAGTAAAATTTTGGTAAGAAGTAGTAAAGCTAACGAATCCAAAACCATGACTTTCTTCGTAGTTGTCTCTTTATACTCTACAGGATACATTTTAGCGCCACCTTTGGAATTTCATAGCCTTTGTAGACAGCACGTTTGTCTAAGTCTTGTTTGTATATGATAGAAGTGTTAACGGGCTCTAAGATTAGATAATCTTTTAAATTTCCGTTGCTATGTAAAACTGAATTTTACCAAAATTTGAATCAATTTTCCCAATTGTCTAGGCATACTGAATGTTAATATGGGTAATATCTACTTCCATCAAGAAAAGTATGACAGAGCAATTAAAATGTACACAATGGGTTTGGACAAGATATCAAATACTTATAATATGACGAGGTAAATTCAACATTTTATTACATAGTGATTGTTTATAATAGAATAAAGGTGATGCAGAACATTGCACTCGCGTTCGTGAAATTAAAGCAGTACAACGATGCCATAGCTTTGTACGAGCAGATCTTGCAAATAGAGCCCGATTTAAGAACAGCATTGAATTTAATCCTCTGCTACTTCAAAGTTGGCGATAGATGTAACATGAAGTATACATTTCAAAGGTTACTGAAAGTGGATCTACATCTCGATAATGAGGATCGCTATCTTCCTCAGTCGGCAAGTTTACCTGATGATTACAGATCGAGTCCAGCTCTAAATGTATTTATATAATATTAAAAATAATTTCTAGGAAGATAGAAAGTATGAAAGCATTCTTGAAGTGATAAAGAACGATGAACTCTGGTGGTATGAGAAGGATAAGTAAGCCTATTAAAATACCTCTTTTAATGATCGAGATATTGATTTGTCATATTTAAACAACAGTAATAAGGATTTACATTTTTACTTTAAATATATGAGTAGAATTAGTTCCTTTCAGGAAAGCGCATGCGGAATCAGTCATTAGAAGGGTGGCCAAAATAATTGCACCAGTAGTTGAACTAAATTTCAATCATGGCTACATCTGGTGTATTGAGCAGACAATGAATTCTCGGTACTTGGAATTGCAGAACGATTTGAAGATCGACAAAGCTTTGATGCACCTGAGACAAAGGGACTTTCATAAGGTACAATCTGTAAAGACTTTCTGCCGACATAATTTAGTGCATGGTTGAAACAATAAATAATTATTGAGTCACAATACAAACACGTCACTGCAAATTATATAATGCTTTAATTGGCGCTTATTGAATAAAGCGATTGAATTATGTGAACTAATTCATTTAAAAAGTGTCAAGACTTTAAAATTCTTTTTAGGAAGGAAACAAATCCTCACATTTCAAGGTGAGACCCGAACATTGGCATAGATGGAAATTAAAAAAAATATTCTCACTATTTCAGAACACAATATTTTCCCCTTTAGGCAATAGAGACTCTGAAGTCGTTTGAAAATAAGGGCTCGAAAATAGCCTGCACTGCGGGTGTAAACCTCTCATTTCTCTACTTCTTGGAAGGAGATTTTGTTCAGGCTGATCGATATGCTGATATAGCACTTGCAGCCGATAGATACAGTCCAGCAGGTACAGCCTTCCTAGTTAATACATTCTGCTTTCCATTTTTTCACTCAATTATGGGCCTAAATGTAACATTCGTCTTAAGTGACAATTTAACCTTCACATGTAAGCATTGCGGCACTCGCCAATCAGAGATTTTCTAGCAATTGATTTCACTTTCAAGTCATAAATTAAAATTATGCAAACTACAAAGTCCAGCCGGTTAAGTATATTTCAGATAATCGCAGTAGGAGGAGGGGAGACGTCACTAATTCCTCCGTAATAAGCTAGAACTCTACCGGACATTTGATTTAACAAAACTTCACCATTATTATGATGAAAGATGGCCCTTCCTCGATTGATTTCAACCTTATCCCACATTGATATAAATTGAACTTTGTTCTAGAATAATTGAAGATGATAAAGATTTGCAGGATTGATGAGTTTAATCTACTTTGCATCTTTTGAGACCAACTTAATTGAGAGAAGTCTTGGTTTAACTTTAACGTAAAACTGACGTATAAAGAAAATGCTAAGTTTAAATTTGATAACAATTGGCCCCTCTAATTTAAAACTTTCGCATTATTTTCTCGTTGTTACTGAACTAAACCCTTCAAGGCATGTGCTTGACTGTTTTGTAGCTCTGGTAAATAAGGGAAATATCCTTTTCAAACAAGCCCAACTAGAACGTGCTCGTGACTGTTACCTTGAGGCTTTGCAAGACGATCCAACGTGTGTGGAAGCACTCTACAACCTCGGACTGGCAGCAAAACAGATGAACAGACTGGAGGAGTCATTAGACGCCATTTCCAAAATTCATGCTATTCTTCCAGCAAATGCCCAAATTATTTATCAGATTATGGATATTTACGAACGAATTGGCAGTTTTGAACAGTCACATGATAGGTACATTTGGAAAACATTGCTTTTATGAATCTATAGTTAATGAGATCACTGTAAACAATCTCTAGAAAACATATTTGCAATTAAACGCATTGGCTGACTGATTAGTCAATAGCTCCAGACACACACACACACACACACATGCTTCAATGATTTAGGATGGTAGTTAAAAGCAAATCTTTTTTAACTGTAATGTAATCTAAACTTGTCCTATGATATGACCAGTTGTGACAAAGGTTTGTTTTCTTTCATCAGGAAGATACTCCACTAACTCAGTCACTTATCTCTAATTTGCATATTTTTAGCTTTATTCAGCTGCAAGGATTAGTGCCATCGGATGCCTTCCTACTACAGTATTGTGGAGAGAGCTTCGAAAGAATTGGTGACAAATCGCAGGCCTTCTCCTATTACTATGATGTATGTTAATTTCAACTTATGAAGTGGAAACTGTGTATCCCACGTTGTATTGCTCACAAATGTTTTTATTTGCTGCCAGTCTTTCAAGCATTATCCCTGCAACATTGATGTGATTGAGTGGTTAGCTGCCTACTACATTGAATCACAGCTTTATGAAAAATCCATTACTTTCTTCAAACAGGCCGTTCTAATGCGGTAAGTTGTGTCTATTGAAATGTATCTTATTCTAAACAAAACATTATCAATGCACTTGTGAAACTATGTTTAGTGCGTATTTCATGCGTATGACGTCAATTTTAGCACAATTAGTGATGGAATATGTCAACCCCATTGATACTTTCTGGTAAAAATGAGCTATGGAAGTGTAATTATTCTCATAAGATCGGTTCGAAAAGAGCTTTCCTCTATCCAGGGCAAGTGTTTTGAAAGCCTCAAATGACCCTAAATCATACGCAAGTATATTTTACGCATTATAATGATGTAGAGACAGCGCTTAACATTCTAGAGAGATCAAAGTGTACTCATGTCACTATCAAGATTAGAACCCGAAACCGGTATTAGTTACAGTGGTTACTTTTGAATAAATGGGAGATTTTAGGATGTGAGTCTTCTTATGGTCGCTCCATTAATATCTTTCCTCTATCCAATTTAATCAGACTTCTAACTAGATAAGAAAACAAAGGTAAAAATGTGGTAAAATTCTAAAACATGATTTAAAGATACTCGTTCACAGGAGGTAAGAATGGCAAGATTAAATTCAAGAGGGCTAATGATAGATAAATATTAATTCTTGCGAAAATTTAAATGTCATCTTCATTAAAAGAGCTACTAGTTTATTTTTTGTTAATTTTCTTAACGCTTAGACCAAATGAAATAAAATGGCAATTGATGATTGCTTCTTGCTACCGCAAAAGTGGTAACTTCCAAAAGGCGTTTGAGGTTTATAAGAAGATTCACAATAAGTTCCCCGATAGCATTGAGTGTAGGTTCGAGTGCTTGAACAATTCTTATAACGTAGTGGACATAATATTTTACTGAGCCAATTTTTCATACAGGTCTGCAATTTCTTGTGCGATTACAATCCGATACGGACTTGCCTGAAGCTGATATGTACATGGACAAATTGGATAAGGCAATAAAACTTCGAGAAGCAAAAGAACAGCGTCTACTTTCCGCTTCTCGTAGACAGTCCCCGAGTCTCAGCTTAGTCGGAGGACTGAATGAGAGTCGGGAAAATATCAGTGGGGGTTAGTTTAGTTCATGGTAATGTAAAATGACTTTGCTTCCAAATTGGAATTGTTGTGATTTTATTTAGGAAGTTTTCGATCAATCAGAAGATCTTCTACACCATTTCGGGCCAGCAGAATATCAAAGACCCCTTCCAATTCCTCTCTCCGATCCTTGCAAGATTGTCTTGAGAGTGAAAGGGAATGTGAACTCCGAACACCACAAGGACTTAGTCGAAGATCTATTAGTCCATACACTAGTATCGTGAATTATTCAGATGCGTTGGGACCTACATTAGATCGACCTCGAACCAGGACTAAAAATCGAAATTCTGTAGTGAATGAATTTGCTGATGATGTTGCTAATGATGATCGCATTCCCGAATGACTTGTCAAATGTGGTTCATTGTTTGAGGCTAATAGTTTAATGACATTTGATAAACCCTTCTCATTCCCCTATTTTGTGGGTTAATAAGTTGAAGATTACAAGTGCGGTGGAGGTTACTTAGAATGGTATTATACGAAGAAGTAGATTGGATAGTTCAGCAAAATATCTCTCTTTCTTGTAAGCGGATACGATCTTGGAAGTGACTATCAAAAATATAACAGTTCAGTTAACTTTTTGTTAACGGTAATCTTATTGTCAGTGGAATTCAGCCTGATAGACTATTTGTGCCGAGCATGAGGGCTTATTCTTTTTTCATCATGCTCAAAGTGAACTTAAACCAATTAGAGCCTCAATAGCAGGTATTTTTATTGGGTAGTATGCGAAACCCCCATGAACTTTCATCAATACGATTTCCTATTTTCTCGCATTTCTCGAAATGGTAATTGCATTTGGTAATTGCCCTTTTAACTTTATGTAATTACAATATCATTTGAAGTGCAGTAGACAAAATATGAAGCAGCTCGGAGTTGGAAAATGTTTCTCACTAATTGTCACTAGGTAGAAACAGGCTAATCCTGTCACCTGAATTAATTTATATAGCTAACCAAACTGAAGGTCCCATACTGCATTTCTTGAATCGACAACTATGAATGGATACTTTCAAAAAATTCTTGTATACCTAAAACTCATAAAAAGAACCAGGACCATGAAAGACAAAGAAGTAAATAGGAATCTTAAAATTTATTTATTTATAACAAATGACAGACGTTACGATAGTTATCATTAGCCCTTTAGCTAACTTCGGGCTTCTCAGAGGGGAGGATGAACATCAAAGTGAGAAGAATTAAGGAGGGGGAATAGAAGAGTGATTCACTGATGTAAAAGAAACAGGCAGACATAAAGGCTCAGAAAGGGTAAGATGAGTACTGTGGTAGGGGTCGAATATGACATACAGTGAGGGTCAAGGTTGTTTGAAGTGAGAAGTCAACTGCCGGTTAATAGACTTTTTTTGCCGTTTGATGATATGTTGCCCAGGGTGCACCACGTGGAGGTAAGTCTATCGCACGTCCCAGAATCTTAAAATAAACCTGCCTCTCCACACCTCCAGAATTAATTTATTTAGAGATATTACAATACCAAAAGACCACTATAGCTTTCATGTGGAGTTAGACAGATAGAAAATTTGACTTACAACATTGGCATTTTTATATATTATTAAGTATAGGTTAAATAATTTGATGGACCAATACCTAAAATAGGACTATATGTAACTGTGCCTGCAGTCAAAAAATGTGCAATTAAATAGTTAGAAGATTCTAATAAATGTGATTATTATCTAGTGAGAAAGCAAAATTAATTTGAGCTATTGTTAACTGCCTTCGCCATCTGCTCACTTCACTGTGGAAATGAATATAAAATGTGAGTACACCTCCTCTCCCCAATTGCGATGATTAGAAAATATTGATGTGTTATTAATAATTTGAGTAAACGACTAACTCAACTCTTCAAATATTGTCCTGACAAGTATTTATACCAGTTTTACAACGATATGAGTTTATATCAGATTGCTACACTAGTTATGTATATTGTTTTGTAGACTTGTAGCGGATTGCTCCCTAAGAAGCCTGACTGACACAGAAATCTCTATGGCAGATTCTCCTGCATCTATCTAGATTCCAGAACTAGCTAAGCTATAGCCCATCTATAATTGAAACAGACGTATATTTATTTATTTATTCCAGTTGTACTAATAAAGCGAAATGACTCCTAAAATACTAAAAAATAGACAAAGTGGAAAGACAAACTCGGCTGTTTTCCAATTTATTGAAGTTGAACGCTCTTTGGGAATAAAATATAAAGTAATTCCATCGAAACATTCACATCAGCTTTTTTGCACAAGCATGGAAAGACGGGTAAACTCAATTTAATTTTAAATCTCACTCATATTGGCCTTATCTTAAGAAGTATAAGTTAGCAATGACAGCTGAACTGGTACAGACATTCAAATGATCTTGTTCTATGACATTCCACCTTTAAGTAAAACGCGCAGGAGAGGATGAAAGTGCCCTAAATTGTGCACTAAAACTACTAGCAAACTGGTGCGACAACAATGGAATGGTTATCAACATCGCGAAAACTGCATTCTAAACACTTTCCTTGGCTCGTCACAGCATAAATCCGCTTCCAAGATACAAGGATACTTCCTTAGAAAAAGCCAATGGGTTCACATATCCCGGAATGATGTTTGACACAAAACTAACATGGAAAAGTCACGTTACTAAATTAGCAGAACGAGTCTCCAATAGACTGAATGTACTGAAGCGTCTTGCTGGTAGCGTATGGAGTTGTGCACGCTCAACTCTTAACACCATTTACAAGATGTTTATTCAGCCAATAATGTTGTATTGCTGTGAGCCACTCATTACAGCCACAGAGGTGACTCTCAATCCACTCGAGACGGCACACAACCAGGCATGACGCTAATTACTGGCTTTGTGCCAGTTTCCATTTTTAAGTCCAGTTTCCTCTAGTTGCTAACACATTGCCGTTTTGATAATCAGGAGATGAAGATTTGTGACTTTGTTTCGACCAATTCGGAGAATCCGAGTCTTGAAAATATTGCACCTTATAGAAGATTTTCGACTCTGTGTGGCAGCGTCATAGCCTCTCCAACTCAATCAACTATCATGTTGAATCCAATTGGAGGCATTCAAATTCAGTTAAATTTTAACACGATGATTAAAATATGGCTCACTTGCCCCTAAATTCCATGTTACAGATGTGACAATGTTCTACCTTTGTGCATTGTCTCAGCCACAAGACACGCTATTTGAACTAGTCTGACAAATGCCTCTCGGCTTTGAAACTATAAATTTTGCCTCGTTTTTAATATAAACAGGATTCTCTAGAAGGATCTTACGCGAATTTACCATTAATTTGTACATTTCAAGCTAAAATAATGAAAAGGCGTTACTTAAAGAAAGCGAGTAGAAATGCATTTTTGGAGAAGAAATGCCAAAACGTCGTCTTCACGAAATTCTATCGGGAGATGGTAGGCTACAAATAGTTATTCTGTAATGGGAGTAGACCAGTAATTATTTCGTTTGTTTATTGGCCAACTTCAGTTTTGATAGGTAATAGCTAAATGATTAACCAAATATGTTAAGCATCTCGACATAAGTTCTAATAATGGATCGAAATTAGAACGTAAACTGTCTTGAAACTACTCCGAGAAAGAACATAAACCGAGAAGTTGTCATGAGCCAGTGCTAATGGTGCTGATTGTGATAAGTTTAAGGATGATGACAACAGTGGTCACAATATGTGGCCGAATTTTCCCAGAGAAACAGTTGAGAAGGCAACAAAAATAGGAATAAAGTGATCAAGACTAATCGGTCACTTGAGACTATGGTCATGACGGTAACAATCGCGAAGTTGTCACAGAAAGCTGACACGACGAACTCATCCAATAAGATTATTGAACGGTACATTTAACTTTTGACACATTTCTCACAAAATATGCAGGCTTAAATTTGTACTAGAAAATGATCGAAGTCGCTACCAGTTGGCTGTTAATTCATTTTAGGAAACATTTATTCCACTGGAACCGAATTTAGTTGCGCCTACAGAAGCCGAGTTATGCAAAGCTTATAAATAAATCGAAAATCTCATTTATTTTGCTATTGGAATTCTAGCTCTGAAATTCCAACAACAACGAGATTGACATCAGACCACC